CAAAAAAAAAAAAAAAAAAGAAGAAACTATATAATGTAATAACTTCCCTGGCTAATTGGTTCTTTTATTCTGTAGTGTGGATTTTTGAGTGCCATTAGTGATGTACTTATTCTGCTGAGAGTGTGTTGTAATTAATACCACGGTGGTGGGAGGTAAGATCAGACAAGATTGCTTTCAATAACAGCATTTACTTATCTCAGACTATTCTAAGAATTAGAATGGCATTTCTCTCACTTCTGTTGTTAACTCTATAAAGAAAAAAAAAAAAAAAAAGAAAACCTTTGCATTGACACATTATATTTTAATGCAGGCAATACATGTTAAGAAGCCATTAAAGCCTTTTCGTTTGTAAAACAAAATGTTAGAAAGAAAATTGCTTCTCTGATGAAAGCCTCCCTTGTGTGATGGAGAATTTGGCAATTATCATCAACATATACAGTATGTAAAGGATTCTGTGTAGGTTCTGCATTCCTTACACACAAGCAGTGAGCTTCTCAAAGAATGCAAAGACAAGAATAACCTATGGAAAATACTTAATAACTGAGAAAGAAAAGTATCTAGCTTCTCCAGAGGTCATTTGTATGTGTAGGTTGGAAAATAAAAAGATGTATTACATGGTTGCTGTAGGCAATATAAGCTTTCCATTCTCCTTCGCCACCTTTTATAAATGAAGCCCACAGATTTTGTTTTTCTTTTTAACCGACATTTGTTAGTGCATAATTGGCAACATTTTAAAATAATTAAATTAATTAATTTTAATTTAATTAATTAAATTGATTAAAGTAGGTCATAGTAAGATTTAAAAAAAAAGGTTGTTTGCCCTGATTTCGGCTTAAGCTCTGGCAACCCCTAGATCAGTGTTTTTCAACCACTGTGCCGCGGCACACTAGTGTGCCGTGAGATATTTTCTGGTGTGCCGTCAATAAATCGTTAATTTCTTTGATCGATCAAAATTATTTTGATCGATCAAAGTTACTCACCTCTCCGCCGGCTTCCGGGTCTTCCGTCGGAGATCCGGTGACGTCACGGACATCGACGTCACCGGACTCCTCCCCCCTTCCCCGAGTGGCTCTGTCGGCTAACGAAGGGAAGGGGGGAGGAGTCGGGTGATGTAGTTGTCCGTGATGGGTAACGAAGGGAAGGAGGGAGGAGTCCGGTGACGTCACGGACATAGACTCCTCCCCCTTCCCTTCGTTACCTGACGGAATCACTTGGGCTGAGTCTCCTCCTCACTCTTGGGCCGGTGAGTCATCGCATGTAACGCTGGGTGTGCCATGAAGGAGTTATTAAAGTGATAATTAAAGTGTGACTCATTCTAACCGCAGAGGGCAGAACCAAATGTAAAGCGCCCCCCCCCTAACCCGGCTTCCTAGGAAAGAGAAGGGGGTGAAGGTGTTTCCCCCCGGAGTGTGGTGAGACCCCCTATGAGCCCTGGTGAGACCCCACAAAGCCATGGTGAGACCCCATGGAGCCCTGGTGAGACCAGGGCTCTGTGGGATCTTGCCAGGGCTCTGTGGGGTCTTGCCAGGGCCCTGAGGGGTCTCACCAGGCTGGTGAAATCGCACATAGCCATGGTGGGACCCCATAGAGCCCCGTGTGAGACCCTACGGAGCCC